ATGTGCAGATCCACCTTTCTGATCTGAATGGTCTACAACATCAGTAATCTTCAGTCATTTAGAGCGGGCGGTGCGCACACTGAGCCCAGCACTGTTATCAGGCACCCTGATCAGTAGACCCACACCGAATCTGTGCGCACAGAATTTTAGCCCATCATTACTTCTGTTTATTTACTTGTGTAAATGTGTGCAAATTCATAATTATTCAGTTTTTACATTAATTTCAGTAATATTATTGACTAATATAAAATATTAACATGATTTATGTGCAATACAGTGTGCACAGTAATATTTTCTGTCTTTTAGTGCAGATATTATATGAGAGACGTGCTTTGTTTACCAAATAAAGTGAATCTAGGATTTGCATTGTAAACATTACATACAAGTTAAGAAGGTATTACTTATTAATTCATAAATTAAGGTTTTAGTTATGAAACTCCCAAAATCATTCTATAGAAATCCACAGATTTATACCAAAATCCTGCAGAGAAACAGCAAAACGTCCGCAGATTCTGTCTGGCCCTGCTTATAAGTGACCTCAGAAACAAGTGGTATTTCATCTACAGTGTTAGCTGATTTATTCAACAGCACGAGCATTAGCCGAGTGTTGAGTGTGAGCTGCTGCTGCTCTGCTGTATGGTCAGTGCAGTAGAGACTGTATCATCATCAATAACGTTACTGTGGAGCACAAACATAGAACATGGAGTTCATAACACAGAACACATAAAAAAGCGAAACCTATGAAGTGTTTTGCCTTTGTGCTTTGTTTTCTTAGTTTGCTCAATCCTACACCCGAACACAGCACTAGAGTCCTGCATCTTCACACTGGCTTTAGTCTTGACTAGTTCAGTGGAGTGACATTTGTCCTGGGAGCCCTGTACCAATATGGCGGCACTATTAATGCATGCTCAGGGTCTGTATACAATATCTAACGTGTATATATATATATACTATGTATTAACCCTTGTGTGCTGTTTAGATTGACTCTCCTTTGGTGATGTCGGTGCTGTTTTCACCCCATTGACTTCCATTATAATCACATTTATTGATTGTAAAGCCACGGTGTGTGTGTGTGTGTGTGTGTGTGTGTGGAGCAGCTGTGTTAGTGCTATGCTGATAGTGTGTGTCTTCATCTCCTTCACACTGGACATCATCAGTGATTTGCTCTGTGCTCTTGTCCAGTACACGCCGTCTCTCAGGAGTGTGTTCCTTCATTAGCGCAGGTCCATCTCATGTTCAGCAGCCTCAGCTTTACTAACACCACTGACGCTCTGTTTATTACAACACACACATCATTTACTGCCATCTCAATTAGAGCCAGCTTTAATTAATTACAGTGGCGGCAGTGGGTCAGCGAGGACTCTCTGGAGGTTCGGGTGCAGAAGCTGCGGCTTATTTCTGACAGATGAGTGTGTGTGTGCGTGTGTGTGTGTGTGTGTGTGTGTGTGTGTGTGTGTGTGTGAGATCAGTCATTCCACTATCTACACTACAAGAAATGCTTTTCATTCTTAGACTTTTGGTCTTGTTTCTTGTCCAGAATCTAAAAGTTCTTAAATCAAGAAGCATTTTCTAGACAAGCGCAACTTATCAAACGGACACTTATCAAACGGGGGACGAGAAATAATCTTATGTTAAAAGGAGAAATAAGTTTATTTCCCTCACACCATTGTCAGACTATTCTGCTTGTTTAAAGGAAACACTCACTTCATTCTGACTCATTATTTCTGAAAATAAAACTTTGCTTGATGTTTCGCTTGTCTACAAAATGCTTCT